ACGAATTTTTCGGTTCACTGAATTTACTCGAACATTGTTACTCGGGGGTTTTTGGGGTCGTTGATCACGAATCTGAAGTCAACGCACACGCACGCATATACACACGCACATGTACGCATATTTTCAATATTTAACAGCATAGATCGAAAATTCAGACAATTTTACGTCAAAAATGTCTATTCCCGATAAAAAATCAATTGAAAAGAGTAAAAGAAAATCGTCCACTTAGGACTTAATAGGTTAATGGATTTTCGAATTTTGAGAAATTCATAAATATAAAAATTTCAAAATGCAATATCTCGGCGAAAAAGAAAAGATATTAGAACAAACTTAACGGCATTTGAAAGGGGGATAATTTGTACTTTAAGATAATTTGAATAGTTTTCTGTGATAAAATTTATTTATGATGCTACATAACCTCAAATATGTCAAAAAACAGTGCTTTTTGCACTTTCAGGTTAGGATATCTCATAAACCTGACGTGATGAAATAATTCTGAGAACAGATTTGGATTCAGAACACCAGAATCCTTTAGAAATACCATATCAGATTGTGATACAGAAAATGACCTATTACACAGGTCTGCAAAATCAGAATTTTGATTGTTATAGAAAAGCCATAGATCATTTCCGAAGTAATTTTTGGCGTAGAAAACGAATCCGGAGTCCAAATTGCTCCATCACGTCAGGATTTTGAGATATCCTAACCTAAAAATGCGAAAATAGTGGTTTTTTTGCTATTTTTGAGGCTATGTAGCACCGCGGCATTCTCATTAATCAGAAAAAAACCAACGACACCTTAAAGTATAAGTCTGACACTTTCAAATACCGTTGAGTTTGCTCAAATAGCTCATTTCTGCATCAAAATATTCCATCTTGAATTTTTCAAGTTTCATGAATTTAGTTGTTTACTTCGTTGGTAAACTCACATAGTTCTGGAGAAAAATGAATACGAATTTTGTTTAATAATCCCATGAAAATACGGTTACGAAAGAATTTGGAAACGAAGATTTAGTAATGAAAATACAAAAGTTTACAGAAATACACAGACACATAAACTGAATAACAATATATCACTAATTTCACTAATTTAGGATACTCAAAGGTATTTTAGGATGTTGAACTTTGAGTCATTTTGGCTTTTAAAAACTTTTGAATAAAAAAAAAAGTCGATTCAAGATTTAAAACTAGAATCACATCTTAAGTATAAATCTACAACTAGATAAACTGCAAAAATATCGGATTTGCTAAATAACAAAATTAGGTTTTTTTTCGAAAAAAAAAATTTACCAACTTGTTTTACCTAGGGTAGGTGGGTTCACCTATTAGAGTATAGAAGTATAAGTATAGCAGTTACAAGGGTTTTAAGGGTATGTGATAATGAAGTCTATAAAGCTTAAAATAGGGTAGTCCATCAGTGATGGAGAATTCGGTTTGCTTAAAGAAAAGTAGTTGGTGTACCCAGGGTTAGGTGGGCTAGTCTGTTTGATGTGCTAGGGTGGTTTATGAGGGTTCATAAGATGTATTTGGATAAAATACTTGAGGGTTAAGTCATGTTAGCCTATCTGAGGTTAAGTTGTTTATTTTTTAAAAGAAAGGCGATTAGTCAAACACTTTTTCTCCAGAACTATGTGAGTTTACCAACGAAGTAAACAACTAAATTCATGAAACTTGAAAAATTCAAGATGGAATATTTTGATGCAGAAATGAGCTATTTGAGCAAACTCAACGGTATTTGAAAGTGTCAGACTTATACTTTAAGGTGTCGTTGGTTTTTTTCTGATTAATGAGAATGCCGCGGTGCTACATAGCCTCAAAAATAGCAAAAAACCACTATTTTCGCATTTTTAGGTTAGGATATCTCAAAATTCTGACGTAATGGAACAATTTGGACTCCGGATTCGTTTTCTACGCCAAAAATTACTTCGAAAATGACCTATGGCTTTTCTATAACAAAATCTTGCAGACCTGTGTTATTTGTATACCTGTGTGTTCATACCATTTTATACAAAAATCTACTCCCAAAACCATGCCGTGAATAAGAGATGACACCGCGCTGACTATAAAAGCATCACACCTACCACCTACTTCGAAATCTAATATCAAATCGACGCATATTCTAGGTTTTTCCCTCGAAATTTTCTTTGGGAAAATTCGCCATTGTCTCAATCAGGTTTTAAACCTATCATCTATCGTTGGGCAAATAAAACTGCGTCCGACATCTGAATTGAAATAGCCCACAACCGAGACCTGCGCTCCAGACTCCAATAACGCCGTATACGCCACGCCGTCGATATTAACGTCTATGAAAAGTCTATTTTACACCAACGTGACCTGCACTGTATCTGGTTCGCTTGCTGATTATGCGGCGATACTTCCGAGGTTAACTCGGCCTTTCCCCTCTCTGAAACCAACGATGTATCCACGACCGTGCCCGTCATCCTCAACGACATACCTACAACAACTACTCGCGCCGCGATCGCTCTTAACGTGGGATACTCTTCCGTTATACTATCGTCGGGTTTTCATCCCGTATCACTCTCATAACTTACCTCGACTCATCAATGCTTACCGTGGATCTAGTAGCTACACCTACTGTAACACTACCCTTTTACAAAACCATGACAAATCACCTGCGGCCGCTGAATCATTCCGTTTACTATAGCCATAGTCCGTCAGGCTACTCAGCTTATCGGCTGGTACGCTCGCTTCCGATACAGCATCCCTGCACGGCTCTTCTACGCATAACTACTCCGACTTGGTGCGAGAGCCCACTATCTTTTACCGTTTTCAACTCTGCGCCCTATCGTGTTACGTCGCGTTCCACATCATCCTAAACTCTCAACTGTTCGCAACGATTTAGTGCGCTTTTCCAATACTCATTTTCCGTTGTGCATACGTCCTTTACCGTACACGTCTTTACTACCCGTTCTTTAATCGCTGTAAGCGGAGGGTTACTAGCGGTTATCACTAGAAGCTTGTCCTGCTCAATAGCTGATTCTTCTATTTCTCATGCGGTCTCCGGATTACTCGAGCTACTCTTCTTCGCTTTCTGAAGAATTTCACGGATACGCAGTGCCCTCTGAAGAGTATTTAAGCAGGGGTCCTCGAACGGTTGACGGCCCTCTCCTCTGCGAGATTTCTTGTGCCGTTTTCGCATAATCTGGACAATTGTAAAACATGAATCCGGCGTACCGCAAGTCTGATAAGCTGATAACTGCTGTGATTGACCGTAAGGGCAATTATTCAAATAATGCCTTACATGTTTGCCTTACATCTACGAGGGGGGATCAATAAGTATTTACAAAATCCAAGAGATGGCGCTCGTCACGCTAAAATTATGATGATTTTAGTAAACAATACTACTAACTTGATATCGTGCAAAGTTTCAGCTCGATTCATTAAGTCGTTTTTTTGTGAGCGTTGGTTGAACAAAAAGTTATTGGTTTATTTGAAAAATGAAAAAAACAGAGTTTCGAGCGGCGATAAAACATTTTCATTTAAAAGGCCGTACACCAAAAGAAATCACAGTTGAGTTGAACGCTGTTCATGGTAAGTCTGCCCCTGTGTTTAAGACTGTTTATAACTGGGTAAATGAATTTAAACGCGGCCGTACAACAACAAAAGATGAACCTCGTTCAGGACGCCCGGTAGAAGTGAGTACGCTCGAAATGGTCAACAAAATCCACGATATGGTGTTGAGTGATAGAAGATTAAAATTGCGAGAATTAGTTGAGGCCACAGGAGTATCAAAGGGTACAATCATTTCAATTTTGCATGAAAAATTTGGGATGAAAAAAATATCAGCAAGTTGGGTGCCACGTTTGGTCGCTGTTGAAAACAAACGAACCCGCGTGGTCACCTCTGAGGCTTTTGACACGCATACTTCGTAATCCGGAAGACTTTTGGCGTCGACTCGTAACTGTAGACGAAACGTGGGTACACCACTACACTCCTGAAACCAAAGAACAGTCCAAACAATGGATTACCGCGGGAGAACCAGCCCCAAAGAAGGCAAAGACAGTAAAGTCAGCTGGCAAGGTTATGGCCTCGGTTTTCTGGGACGCGTATGGAATCATCTACATCGACTACTTGGAAAAGGGCCAGACGATCATTGGACAATATTATGCGTCATTATTAGGTCAGCTGAAAGAAAAAATCAGAGAAAAACATCCTCACTTGAACAAAAAAAATGCCTCTTTCTTCAAGACAGTGCTCGAGTTCACACTTGTGCAGTTTCGATGGCAAAAATTAACGATTTAAAGTTCGAATTAATTGACCATCCACCATATTCGCCTGATTTGGCTTCCAGTGACTTTTTCTTATTTCCTAACCTCAAAAAATGGCTTACCGCCGTTCGGCATCGCCGAAACAAATGCCTATTTTGAGAGTTTTCAGAAATCATATTTTTCTGATGGCTTAAAAAAACTGGAAGGCCGTTTAATAAAATGTATCGACCTTCAAGGAGATTATGTTGCAAAATAAAAAAAAATTACATACGCAAAACTTTATTTTCCTTCTCTTTGAAAAGACTTATTGATCCCCCCTCGTATAACACGGGCCCGTCAGTCTACCCCTCTTGGACATTGTTTGGACGATGTTCTGAACTGCTGCAACCGAAACAAGCTGTCGAAAAAGGGTGATATGCGCTCATCGCGGTCCCATAACTTGCGTTCTGCTTATTGCGTTGCTACAGTACTAAACCGGGAGGCAGGCCCTTCATCGAAACGTTAATTAAACCTGCTGGAGGAGCCGACTGAACGTCACCCTCCTTAGTAAGGCTATACTTCGATTTGCACCCCGAGCTTCTGACGTCCTCGCCTGCTGCGAATTTGGCTGATTAGCCGTCGACAACTTCGCCACTCTCCGATTCTCTCCTACTCGCAACACTACCGCGGCTCTTCCATGTGCCCTTTTTCTTCGACTCATTTACGCTACCGTTACTCGACTTTTATCCCACTACTACTACCACCGACACCTCCTTTAATAACTTAGACTGACCTTTTTTACGCAGCATCAGATTGTGAGCCTGGAGCAACAGACTTATAGGTTCAGAGGTATCGGATAAGGCGTGGTACGGTTGGCCAACAGCGGACCAACGGCGCAGATATCCGAGGTGGCTTCGATGAGCTTGCCCACTGTTTCGGTGAGCTTGTTCAGCAGAATTTTCCTTATGACCCGAAAGAGCCTGAAGAAGGTGGTTAGTAGTTAATCGGAGAATATCGTTTGTTGCGCTGTCTCCTGCCAAAGTGGGCATATGGCGCAGAAGCTAAAACGGCGTCCGATCCCCGATGGTTACATCGGTTTACAGCTTGTGTGCGTTGCTGGGCCATATCTCCGGATCGTTCTGAAATTCATCGTTTCAGGATAAGGTACTTATCTGACTCAGGTGGATTTTATAGGATGTGAAGGGAATCCTGGACCTTGCTACTGTAACTCCCGCGACAACGGTATGAAACTAATGCGAGTCAAAAGTGAAATTCTAGCTGGCATAGACGAATTCAATTTGTACGAATCAGATTGCTAGTGCGTCCATCCACAATAGCAGCGTACGAAATGTTAGGTGACGTAGCGCATCGTTGCTCTCCGTACGGACGAACTGCTCCCCGGTTGGGACAGTCAAATCAGGCACGGTTGAGGGCAAAACTCACTGATCGACGCTGTCGTAATCACCACACTTAGCGAGGTGACGTTTTGCTTGTATCAATCACTCGCGTGTTTCGAACAAATTTCTTACAAATTTCTCGATCTCGGCGGTCGAATCGACCGACGAGTGTCGAGAAGAAATATTCAGTGTATCCATCACGAACTTTTCCTATCCCTGCTTAAACAAGAACATTCAACCAGATTGAAAATCCAATCTGCTTTGAATCTATTTCTAAATTTTAGCAATAACAATTAAAATTCATTGAAGTAGAATAAATTTGAATCCACTTTAATGTTTTTTTATTCCGAAATTATTTTTACATATTATTATAATTAAGTTCAAGATAGAAAAATATTAAAGAGGTTTCAGATCGATTCCAATTTAATAAATTTAAATTGTCATTTGTAGTATTCAGAATAAGACTCAAAGTGGATTGAATTTCGAATCCAGTTGAATGTCCTCGTTTTAGCAGGGATTGCACTCGATAAACATATTATACGTGTAGGCGGCAGATCACGTTAGGGTCACCACTGTTAATACACTGGGATCCGAGGATGTGAAAAATAGTGGATAGAGAAAAAACTGGGAGTCTTAAGCGTGCTAACTTCCACGTCCAACTTTATTGTTCGTACAGAGTGCGTGTCATGTGCACGAAATAAAAGATGCTTCACAACGCGCAGAGTATATATGCCGAGTCTATAGAGTGCTGACAGAATATGAGAGACTATTTGCGCACCAGCGTTTCTGGAGCGGCGAACAAGTCCTGGGAATAGTAGATCCGTACTGGTCGGAGGCCGCCGAAAAGTAAAGAAAGCGAGGTACCGCAGCCGTCGTTATAGGCCAACTTAAAAAACATCAGAAAACTGAATCAGTCTTTTAACGGCTTCCAGCACATGCATGAAGACACTCCTGCTCGGGCAAGACTCAGAGGTTGAAGGCTATAATGACCTCTGCGTCGAGACTACTGTTTGCCACATTTTCTCGGCTGAGAAAATATTAACTGTACTTCCTCAAATCGAAACTAGTCTAAATTTATGACCATTATCGTGACAATTCGTGTGATTTTTCTGTACTTACATAGTACACTTTCTCATAGACACTCCTCTTGGAAATATTATGAAAAGGTCAACCTTGAACATATAAAGTTTTCTGCTTTCGAAATATAAACTCTTGCGAAACATAGCAGAAAATTTATGGTCACGCTGAACCTCTGAATATCTTTATGAATTGCAACAACTTTCAAAATGAAAAGTAGCAAAGTGAATGTTAAAATCGATGATCTATACCTTATTAGAATCAAGATGCTCCCACCAACCAAATAGGTTTTTATCCGCATAGTCACTTTTAAACCTGGGAAAGATGGTCTCAACCAAGTTATTAAAGTCAAGATTGCAAGTTCAATATTTTTTCAACCAATCTCGAGAATTAAGGTTTTACTTATTAATGAATATAGATTATTTACCAGATTTTGCCAATTTATGTTACACATCTTGTGTTATAAAAAGAATTCCCAATTACTGCTTTTCACATAATCATTCCATTCTTTTATGAAATTTTGATACATCCACACATATTTAGGTTTCCTTCAAAATTATTATTATTTTTGAAGAATATATTATATTACACAAGATGTATTTTCTTCTCTTCTATATGTACGCTTTTAACAAAATTTCTCCTACGTTTAATTATAAGTAGAGACATACAATGGAATAACTTTGATTTATATAATGACACTTTTAAATAATAAAATATCTTTATTTGAATGAACATTTTTTATTGTATACCATTATCTTTGCTTATATTTCCATATTACGTTTTAACATAAAAATTTAATATTGATATTCAGAAAAAACTATAAATTATTTCAAATTCTATTACACTAAACTTTAAGCTTTTTAAAAGCTCAATAATATTTATTGGAACAAGCTTTTGATTCAACTTCTTGTTAGGTTTCTTCAAAATAATAGTTTTAAATAAAATAGTAAATTTAATCTAGTTCATAATTATTACATTATAAATTTTATTTGGAATAAATCAAACTAATATTAACCAGGAATATATTACATTTTAAGTAAAAATAAATTTTGTTGGTAATTTTCATGTAATTTCAAATATATATCACATATTTGTGCTTTTTCAATAATGGTGAAACTGTTTATTTAAATTTGTATGTCTTTGTCTTTATTTTGACAAATTTTTTCAAAGGAAATTTTTATTATTTACTCAGATAATAGAAATAATAAATAAACAAAAATCAATAAAATGAAAAATCAACATTGTGACTCAAATTTTTTCCAAATATAGTTAATGATAATTTAAATATTAAAATTTTTTAAAGAATATTCTAAGACCTGTTCTGAGTACTCATGCCAAACTTTTAAAAGTTTTGGCATTAAGATATCTTTAGAGTTCTTCAATTCAAATCGTTTTGCAATTTCTTATCTGATCTTTTCTGAAGTCCATTTAATATCTTAATAGACATACAACCTGTTTGGCATTCAGAGAAGTCATTTCAGGTATGATTAAAACTGAGGTCTCTAAATATGTCTTGACTGAGATATCAATTCAGCTATAACATATCCATTAACATCTCAACTGATATTTCAGCCATTGAATTTTATTAAAGCACTTTTTTGAGCACCTTTAAAGATCTCAAAGAGAACAAAATGATAATATGTTTAGATTACACATTACTTTGATTAACCAGATTGGAAATCTGGCAATTTAAGATCAATGAATAACACAAAACAAATCAATAACAAGTTATCTAGTAATGAGACCTTTTGACTAGTTTGAATGTATTTCCTTTAAACTTGCATATGACATCCTTTTCTACTTGATAATTAACAGAATAAAGAAAGTATCATGCCTTTTGTTTTATTAAATATAAAGACATGAACTTTCTTTATACTAGCAATATAATCTATTTTACATAAGCAGTATATAACCGTCAATACTTCAATCTAATTTTTAACAATTTTATTTATTTAGAGACAAACAAATATAACTTTCTCGTAAACTGTTATTTTATCATATATACAAAATTAAACTAATTACAATAATTATTTTATTCAACATAAACAATATTCTTTTATCTAAAATAACAAATTATATTTCAAATTGTAAATAATTCTCAAGATACTTCATTTATATAACAATTACATTTTTTCTACAATAATTGTAATTGATAATCTCTATATACTTGCAAAAGTATTTTTTTTTTTCAGAGAAATTTTAGAATCTATGTAAACTTTTGTATGATAAGCCTAAAAATTATTTTATGATTTAAATTGAATAAACAATTGTTTAGCTTTTAACAAAAAGGGAACAAAAATTAATCTGCATGAAGATTTGATCATTATTCTGTTTATAGGTCTCAATTGTAATTGATTGTAATGTTTTATACATTTAACAAAAGTACACTGAAAATGATAATTGAGATGCGTGATAAAAAAATATCTGTAGAATATATTCAGATATAGTTTCCAACCCTTTTTTGTTCCAAGGCCTTTAATTATAATTACAGTCCAAACTGGATTTCATTGAATGGTCTTCAATAAAAAATTATGGAAATATTAGTAAATAACGTCAAATAGACTTCAAAGGCATTCAACGTTTAATTTAAATTTATTAAATATATTGAATTAAATTAAATTTCAAGTTTGTATGAAAAAGATTAAACAAACAACTCATCATTACATTTCCACAGATGTAAATGTACACAACATTACAATTTGAAAATATACTTACAATTGATGGCTATATACATGTATATGTGTGTGCATGTGCGTACGTTCGTGTTTATGTTTGCGTATGCCCGTCCGCATGCGCATATGTGTGTGTGTGTGTGTGTGTGTGTGTATGTATATTAAAATCATGGAGACTGTATACAGGAGGCGAGGCAGAACCTCTCTTACCCCAGCCAGCAAAGTGTAATGGACAGTAAAAATAAAAAATACCATTCGAAACATCTCTAATTGAACCCTCGAAAAATGCTCATTATTTTAATTGAACCCCTTCAGTTGTCCCAAAAAAAATTAAAAACTATGATAATTTTTTTGTTTTTTGTAACTGCGATATCTTTAGTAATACTTAATATTTTTGTAAAAGAAACAAGGCAAAAAATTGAACCTTTGCTCGTTTTAATTGCACCCCTCTCACTTTTTCAAAATTATTAATATATATGTCAAAAACAACAATCTAACTTTATTGTATGTTCTTTTCAAATAGATAATTGGGTTATTGGGTTATTTGGAAAGAACATACAATAAAGTTAGATTATTGTTTTTGACATATATATTAATAATTTTGAAAAAGTGAGAGGGGTGCAATTAAAACAAGCAAAGGTTCAATTTTTTGCTTTGTTTCTTTTGCAAAAATATTAAGTATTACTAAAGATATCGCAGTTGCAAAAAACGAAAAAATCATCATAGTTTTTAATTTTTTTTGGGACAACTGAAGGGGTTCAATTAAAATATTGAGCATTTTTGGAGGGATCAATTAGAGATGTTTCGAATGGTATTTTTTTTTTCACTGTCCATTACACTTTGCAGGCTGGGGTAAGGGGGGTCGAGGTAGAGACGATTTATCTAGGCAACTTTCTCTTTTTCTCGGGGGAAATTAGCTGATTTTAGCGCCGTGCTCGGTAGTTAGTGAACCACTAGAAGACTTACAATATGAGCGCAGCTTATCGACCATGGGGATCTGTGATGTGGACATCCGAGTATGGATGAAAATTTTTAGAAAATATTCATCAATTTGTGCAGAAGCTGCGCGTTCAGAACCCGCGGTCAAATAATTTGTGCAACTTTTAATTACGCCAGTATTAATTAATTAAAGTCGGGTGCTGGCTAAACTTCGATTGCGATTTTCTCGTGGAAATACTGAAAATTTCCGAATTCTGACGACTCCATTGAGTTGCGCGTAATTTGTGTATCAAGAATATGTGGTCCTAATTGAAAAAAAATCAAAGGGTGCGGGAGGAACGATAATAATTAGATTTATAATAACTTTGGTTTGCCGCGCATGCGCGAACGCTCACGGCGCGCGGCGCGGCGCCTCCGACCTACGAACGCACGGAAGAACGGTAGCATGGTGTATTACAGTGCCATAGCAACACGAAAAAGAATATTTATAGTCCACACAACAATTCTCATCGACATACACAAGTCTTTAGGAAATTGATTTTTCCTTGGTAGTTAGTTTTCCTGAAACAGGAGGCTGTAAGTATTTTTGTGGTTAGAGTTAGCAATTGACCAGTGCCGTCTTTATGCACAGGCCTGAAAGGCCGAGGCCTAGGGCCCCAGGCATTCCCAAGGGTCCCCTGCCAAGGAGTACTTGCTCAAATTTCGATAGAAATATAAAAATTCCGGAAAAAAATTTTAAAGTTTTCTTCATAAAACAATCGAGTTATCGAATTCATCGTAAAATGGAAATGCAATAGTATTATTAATTTAAAAAAATTTAAGTACAATATATTTTTTTTTAATCTTATTTATTTCTTACACTTTAGTCTATTTACAGCTTTTTTCTTGATTTTTTTCTGAGAAAAATCACTAATTAAATCATTGATTTCGATTAAATCTAAAACATCACACTCAATGTACATTATTGCTAGCCAACTCAAGCGAGCATCCAGCATACTACTACGGTGATCATTTTTCAGGTATTTTAAAACAGAGAAAGATCTTTCGCCGCTACAATTTGTCACCATCATGCACAGAAAAATACGCAGAACTATTTCTATGTTAGGGAATGTCGATCTTATACCATCGCTATGGATTTTGGTGTACAGTTCTAGAAATGATAGTTTGTCGTCAGCGCCAGTTGCAGTTGAATAACTTTTGAATTGTATGCATTCCGATATCAAGCTTTCTTCACATAAATCCTTGTCATATTTTGCTGCAATGTTTTTGCAATTTTCAGTGATTTGTTGATCATTCAAATTTCGTAACTTTGTCAAGAAAGTAAAATTTTTGTTCAACTCATTGTAGGCTTTTTTTCTTTTTTGTAAGTTTACGATCAGACTATCGATTATGGGATAAAAAATTTCTACTCTGAGACTATCAACGTAAGAAAAAGTGGTATTTTCGCTTGTGCCTTCGAATCGTTGGAATCTGGTGCTACGCGTTCTTGTTCTTACATTTTCATCTTCAGGTATCTCTTCCAATTAGGCAAACACTTTTGCAGATTCTAAAAAAATATCAAATTTTTCCCTTAGACCTCCGATGTACTGTTCTAACGATTCTAACAAACTCACTACAACGCCTAGATCTACATTTGCTTTTTGCAGAGTTAAATTAGTCGCATGAATTTTAGACAAAATATCATACCAGACTACAAGCAAAAAAACATTGCTAAACTAAGTCAAGCTTTTATACAAACTTGCTGCTTCTACTTGGACTTCACTTTTGGCTGTATCATCTTTTGCTAATTCATCAAGAACCAATAAAATTGTGTCATATGCATGATAAACAACCGATACAGCGTCAACACGAGCCGACCATCGCGTTTCACTCAGTGATTTCAGAACCTTCAACACAGTTTCTAAAGCATCTAAAGCTTCTTTCAATTTTTGCCACCTGTTAGTAGAACCTGATAAAAAAACATATAAGCGCTGCAACGTATCGAAAAATATTTTTATTTTTAGATTACACTGCGCTGCTGAAAATCCTACTAAATTCAAGGAATGCCCTGCACATGGGCAATACTCAGCATATTTATTGGCTTCTTTAATTCGAGCTTGCAGTCCTGTGTATTGGCCAGACATATTTGTTGCGTTGTCGTATGACTGACCACGACAATCACCTAAAGTTACACTGTTTTCATCCAAAAATCCAAAAACTGTATTAGTTAAATACTCCGATTTATGACTCTCAATCGATATAAATTTCAGAAATCGTTCTATTGGTCCTTTTTCGTTGACATATCGAACGGTAAAAGAGAGTTGATCTCTTTTCGTGTTATCAGGTGTAGAATCTACACTAATAGAATAATATTTCGCTTGTCTCAGTTCATTTAAAATATATTCAAAAACTTTTATACCCATCAATTCAATAAGTTCCTCGCAAATATTCGCTGATAAATATGACGTATGCCCATGACCTTTATTCCCATATTTCTTCAAATGATCTTTGATAAATGGACTATAATCACCCATCAATTCTAATAAACCCAAGTAATTCCCATTTTTTTTTGATCCTATAGTTTGATTTTCTCCTCTGAAAGCAAGACCTCTAGAAGCTAAAAACTTGATTGCTTTTACCAAATGACCTACTAACTCTGTCCAGTACGCAAATTCTTTCTCCGCTTGTTGACAAATTTGATTGTCGATACAGCCAACTGTATTTTTACGTTTCCCGTATATATTTAAACATTCTTTATGTTCACTTCCGCCGTTATGTTCGATAACGCGTCTTATGCCATTTTTCCAGTCATTGAAACCAACTAAACTAAATTGGCTGCTTTGATGATTCGAAAAAAGTCTACATATAAAACAATATACACAACCATTCGATGGCGAGTAGATCAACCAGTCTCGTTCAATTATTTGACCATTTTTTAACTCACATTGAAACAAGGATGGCTGTAAGGTTCGAATTTTCACTTTTCCTTCACTGTCAATGTATTCACGAGCCGATTTCTTGAATTTATCGTCATTGTTCCGACCGAAATCTGCTCCTTTTCTCAACCAATAATTGACTAGATCATTATCTAAATTCCACAGAGCAGGATCAGTGCTGTAATTCTTTGTATTTTCGTCCGGTTTGACGTTCCCTAAATAATTGAAAGCCCGATAAAGTCACGTTAACAATAAATTTCTGGTGGTGTGAATTAAAAAAAATTACATTATCAATTCTACGATGTTCTACATTTTTAAGATTTACCTTGTACAGTGTTACTATTGTCTTGAAGTGCATGTTCGCAGGACGCGGGGCCATCGATAGTTTGTGAAGCAACTTTTATCTCGTTAATCTCGCCTCTTAAATCATCTACATTTTCGACATTTCGTAATGCACCAACTTTATTTGCTCCTTCTTTTTTGTCACCTACATTTTGCACAAGAACTCTATTGGCTTCTTCCTCTTCGACCTTCGTGATGGCAACTGATTCTATCGATATAAAAAAAAATATTCAGCGAAAATGCCATTGTAAATAATGACGGGTTTTACTGCAAGACTTTCGGAACTTCATCCATTCCGAAAAAATAAAGCTAGCTTCGCGAGCATATTATCACGTAGTCGCGGGAGCGTTGGGAAGATATTTTATTGGTATGATATACGCGAGCAAGCCTCAAGTTGTCTCTGAGTGCATAGGCGCGCAGTCGAGCGCGCAGTTGGTTCAGCTAGTTAATTTGAATTAGAAATAAGCAATAAGCAATATAAGCATAAGTAATCTTACATCTTATAAAATTATATTGATATACTGTTTTAAACAACAACGACAGATAATAGCAAATAATCAATTATCTAATATATTTTTACCTGTGTAACAAATTGGATATTACTTTTATTGATCAGTTCACTCGTAACGCTCGAGGTGTTCAGATGTGCGAATGATCGCTCTCTAAGTTTAAAGTGACCGTTAGACAGTGACAGTAAACAGACATATCAAAGAAACATAGAGCAAATAAAACAAACAAAACCAAATCATACAGACAAATAATAGCATTAGTTTAGCCGTCATGGCTACAATAAAAGAAAAGGTGCAG